GCTGCTGCTGCGGTTCGTGGTGTTGCTGCTGCAGCAGATGCATCAGCAGCAGGAGCAGCAGCAACAGCAGCAAACAGCACTCGATCCTCAACAGGACAGTTCGCTGCTATTTGTGATGCTGCTGCTGCTACACCCAGCTGCTGCAGCACCTGCTGCGTCGGCTGTACAGACACAGGCCAGGCGCTCTGCGGCTCCCCCACCATCTGCTGCAGCAGCAGCTGCCCCTTCGCCTCCCAGAGCTGCTGCTGCTCCTGCTGCTGCTGCTGCTGCTGTTGCTGCTGCTGCTGCTGCTGCTGTGGAGGCTCTGCTCGCTCACACAGAGCAGCAGGCGCCTGCAGCACCGCAGCAACGCGAGGCAGCCAGGCGGCCCTGGCTGGTGACTTGCGCTGCTGCTGCTGCTGCTGCTGCTGCTGCTGCTGCCGCTGCAGCAGAAAAGCAGGAGTAGCAGCAAGAGCGACGCCACACAGAACCCTGTTAAAAATACCAGCAGCAGCACCACCACCTCGTGCTGCTGCTGCTGCTGCTGCTCCAGGCCTCTGCCCCCTAGAGGCCTCCCCCTCAGCCCGCAGGGAGACAGAGGTTTGCTGCATGCAGCAGGTTAGGGGGGTTGCTGCAGCAGCAGCAGAAGCTGCTGCTGCAGCAACTGAGACAGCAGTAGCAGCACCCCTTCTTGCTTGCAAGCCCAGCGGCTGCTGCTGCTGCTGCTGCTGCTGCAGAGACCTACGTAGAGTTGCTGCTGCTGCTGCTGATGCTGCTCTGTGTAGCGAACCGGGCTGCGACCTGCTGCAGCAGAAGCTGCTGCTGCTGCTGCTGCTGCGGGACTTGACGGGCCCAGTAGCTGCAGCTGCTGCTGCTGCTGCGCCTCTCCTGCTGCTGTTGCTGCAGTCTCCAAGCCGCCGGAAAGTAGCAGCAGCAGCAGCTGCTGCTGCTGCTACTGGCATCACCTGCTGCGGATTCATCATTCCTAGAGTTAACACCATTGCATCCTACGGGCTGTCGGCCCACAGCAGCAGCAGCAGCAGCAGCAGTTTCAGCAGCAGCAACTGCAGCAGCAGCAGCAGCAGCAGCAGCGGAGCGGTGCGGCAACGAAGTATGGATTACCCCCCAATTATGCAGCAGGAGTAGTTTAATATTCTAAATACTGGCTGCTGCAGATGTGCTGCTGCCGCAGCAGCAGGAGCCGCTGCTGCTGCTGTTGTTGCTGCTGTTGCTGTCGCCAGCGGGGACCTCAGTTGCTGCAGCAGGAGCAGCAACACTCCAGCAGCAGCAGCAGCAAGGAAGGAAGACAGAAAAAACTGATGTGCAGAGACACACAAAGTTGCTGCGCTGCACGGAGACCTAGGTAACCACCAGCAGCAGCAGCAATAGCAACAGCAGTAACAGCAGCAGCAGCAGCAGCAGCAGCAGCAGCAGCAACGGCAGCAGCAGAAGCTCCAAGAGCAACAGCAGCACGCGCCTATTACATGCGGTTGCCGCTGGTCTACGTTTGTTCTTTATGAATTTAAATAAACAAAATAAATAAAAATGAAATAAATTAATTTATTTCATTTATTTCTGCCCCACTCTGGGGTGTACAGACAGCTGAAACAGCCAATGCCAGCAGCAGCAGCAACGCCAAGGACCTACGGCGGTTTGTATATCAGAGATAATTTAAAATATTTTTATTATTTTAATTCTTATAAATTGGCTCGATAGCAGCAGCAGCACAGCAAAATTTGCTGCTGCTGNTTTATTATTTTAATTCTTATAAATTGGCTCGATAGCAGCAGCAGCACAGCAAAATTTGCTGCTGCTGCTGCTGCTGCTGCAGCTGCTGCAGCTATGGGGGGCAGCGGGAGCGATGCTGAGGTTCTGTGCTGTTGCTGCTGCTGCTGCAGCAGCAGCAGCAAGACCTTCGCCAGGCACAGCAGCTGCTAGGGCTGCTGCGTATCAACGGGGTATACCAGTAGCTGCATCAGCAGCGACAGCAGCAACAACAGCAGCAACACTAAGCTCAAGCCCAGCAGCTGCTGCAGCAGCTGCAGCAGCTGCAGCAACTGCGGCGTCAGCAGCAAGAAGTATAACTACGAACGCACGTAGCACTGATGCTGCTCCTGCAGCGGTTCAGGACTCTCAGGATGCCGCAGCAGCTGCAACAGCAGCAGCAGCAGCAGCAGCAGCAGCGGGTGCTGCTGCTGTAGCTGCAGCAACAGGTACAGATGCCTTGATGCATAAAGCAGCGGCATCAAATGCAGCANTGCTGCTGCTGTAGCTGCAGCAACAGGTACAGATGCCTTGATGCATAAAGCAGCGGCATCAAATGCAGCAGCAGCAACAGCAGCATCAACAGCAGAAACAGCAGCAGCAGGACCAGCAGCTGCAGCAGCAACAACACCAGGAACAGCAATAAGAACAGCAACAGCAACAAGAGCCGCGGCAGCAGCAGCACCAACTGCTGCTGCTGCTGCTGCTGCTGTTGCTGCTACAGAGGGATCTGTGATTCAAGCCTTACGCCGAGCAGCCTCTCGGAAGAACTCTTTGCTGCAGCTGCAAGCTGCTGCTGCTGCTGCTGTGTCGGCGCTGCAGCAGCAGCTGCTGCAGCCAAAAGAAGCAGGACAGGTGCTGCAGCTGCTGTCTAGACACCAGGGGCTGCTGCCTCGCAGCATTTGGAAGGATGCTGCAGCAGCCTTGCTGCCGCTGCTGCAGCAGCAGCAGCAGCTTGCGCCCCCGCAGCAGATGGGCGCTTCCCGGCTGCGGGGCGCCAAGCAGCAGCACCGGCAGCAGCAGCAGCAGGAACAGCAGCAGCAGGAACAGCAGCAGCAGGAGCAGCAGCAGCAGGAACAGCAGCAGCAGCAGCAGCAGCAGCAGCGTGTGTTGTCTGTTGGTGATCTGGCTGTGCTGCTGAATGCCTTCGCCCGGGTTAACTACAAGCCGCAGCTGCTGCTGCACGAGGCCCTCCGTCTCCTCTCCCCCCAGGATGCAGCGCAGCAGCAGCAGCAGCGGCAGCAGCAGCAGCAGCAGCAGCAGCAAGGGAGTGAAGCTTTCAAAATACGCAGCAGATTTGGGCGTGCGGCTTTTGCGCAGGTTGAGCTGGACCCTGAGCAGCAGCAGCAGCAGCAGCAGCAACAGCAGCAGCAGAAGATGCAAAAACAACAGCAGCAGCAGATGCAGCAGCAGCAGCAGCAGCAGCAGCAGCTGGAGGAAGCTGCAGCGAATGAAGCTGCATCTCAGGGTGCTGTCTCTGCTGCTACCATTTGGACATTCGACGGAGAAGCAGCAGAAGCAGAAGCAGCAGCAGCAGCTGCTGCTGCTGCTGCACCCGCAGCAGCAGCAGCAGCACGAGCAAAAGCAGGGGAGGTAGGCGCAGCAGCAGCAGCAACAACAGCAGCAGCAGCAACAACAGCAGCAGCAGCATTTGGAAAAGCCTATACTGCCGCAGAAGGACCTACAGCAGCAACAGGAGCAGCAGCAGCAAAAGTAACCGAATCAGCAGCAACAGCAGCTGCTGCTGCAGCAGCAGCTGCTGCAGCATCCTCTCCACCCAATTTGAATCCGCTTCCCACTGCTGTGCCTTCTGAACCCGCTACTGCTGCTGCTGCTGCTGCTGCTGCTGCTGCTCCAGTTGTGTGGGGGCCTAAGGAAGGGCTGCTGCTGCTGCATGCAGTTTCGGCGTTGCAGATGTCTGCCCCTGTGCTGCTGCAGCAGCTGCGGCAGTGGCTGCTGCTGTCGATGCAGCAGCTAACCCCGCTGCAGCTAGCTGTTGGAGTGCATGCGCTGGCAGCAGCGCAGCAGGCAGATGCTGTGCTGCTGCACACAGTTGCTGCTCATCTGCTGCAGCCACAGCAGCAGCAGAAATCACGGCTGCTAAAGGACCAGCAGCAACAGCAGCAGCAGCAGCTGCAGCACGAACCGCAGCACCAGCTGCAGCAGCAACAGCATTCGCAGCAGCAGCAGCAGCAGCAGCAGCAGCAGCAGGTCGCTCTGCGGCTGCATGCACTAGACAAGGGTGGCGTGATAATGCTGCTGCTGACGCAGCTGAGGATACGAAGGGCAGACGGGCGCCTGTCTCGTGCTTTGCTGCAGCACCTACTCTCAGACTGCAGCAGCAGCAGCAGCAGCAGCAGCAGCAGCAACAGCAGCAACAAGAGGAAGCAGAGTAAGAAACGGGCGGACTCGGCTCCTGTGGAGAATGCTGCAGCAGCAGATGCGCCCATCCTGAGCAGCAGCAGCAGCAGCAGCAGCAACGTTAGTAACAACAGCAGCAACAGCAGCAGCAGCAGCAGCAGCAGCAGCAGCAGCGTGGCTTCGAGGGCGCTGCAGCAGCTGAGCGGCAAGGAAGTTGCTGTGCTGCTGCTGCACCTGGCGAGACACCGCAAGCTGCATGCAGCAGCAGATGTAAACTTCATTGCAGCAGAGAGTATTGTGCTGCTGCCGAGCCTTAGAGACCGCGCGCTGCTGCTTGCTGCTTATGCCCTTGCTCTGCTGCTGC